TATTTGTATCGTTTAGAAACCAACTTTGATCCAGCAGAATGGGGGTCTAAGGTAGACGACCGCTTCTATAACAACCATGCATTCAAGGTATGGTCCTGTGAAGCTATTGAATTTGGCTAATTCTCCCTCTTCAACACAGAGATTGTTAGGACCTCCCCAGAATTGTGAGAATCCTGTGAGGCATCACAAATAACTTATTAAATCTTTTTAATTGTGCTATTTTTTTCTGAAGAGAAATTCTTTTCTAAAGTATCTGAATCATGTGCAGATACTTAGCTTAAGTTTAAAGACAATCACCGGGAAGAAGGTGCTTGAAAGTTGTAGAATAATTACTCCATCATGTGTTCTTCAAACTTTATTGAGCATCACAATGCTTAGCAATAGCAGGTATTTAACGAATACTTGTTGAATTAATTAACGATATTTTGTAAAATAAAGCACTATTGGTCCAATTATTTTATTATCATTGACATGTTACAAAAGACTGATTAGAATTAAAGATGGTAATGATATAGAGTTTTCTCTACAAAACTAATCCTTTCAGAGACTGAACCTGTCTTTCCCTTTACAGCTTTCTCAAAGACAGCCTTTCTCAGCCAAGGCTCCTCAAAAAAATTTAAGCCCTAAACCAAAGGCCTAATTGCGTGTAAGGAATCAGTGTCTTGCCTTTGTATCCAGAATGGTTCTAGTTACGTACCATCCTTGGGAAAGCTGAGAAAATAGCCACTGAAAACATTCTCCACGTTCTGTGATCCAGATGAGGGACACTGGTTGAAAAAGGCTATGTGGCATCAGCATCATTGGCATCTACTGGGAACTTGATAGAAATTCAAAGTCTTGGGCCCCATCCCAGGCCTACAAATCAGAAGTTACATTTTAACAATGTCTCCAAGGTAATCTGTAGGTACATCAAAATATGAGAACACCGCTCTAGACAACTGAGGTAATACCATTAGCCACAAAGTACCAGCAGATAGTAGAATTAAAAGGAATTAACAGGTCAGGGGAAGGTGGCTCACACCTGTAATCCTAGCACTCTGGGAGGCCGAGGTGGGAGGATTGCTTGAGGCCAGGAGTTTGAGACCATACTGAGCAAGAGCGAGATCCTGTCTACAAAAAAATATATATATATAGAAAAATTAGCCAGGCGTAGTGGCACATGCCTGTAGTCCCAGCTACTCGGGAGGCTGAGGCAGGAGAATCGCTTGAGTCTAGGAGTATGAAGTTGCAATGAGCTATGATGATGCCATTGCACTCTAGCCCAGGCAACAGAGTGAGACTCTATCTCAAAAAAAAAAGGAATTAATAAAATTCAACTTTTGATGATGTTCCCAGTAGATATGGGGAATTTCTTGGCAAAGTAATTGTCACGTAGTCCATGAGTTCAAAAGTGAAGTTCCATCCATTTGTACCTGCAGATATGGGCATGTTGTTTATTTCCATTTTACTACATTTCCTGTGTTGGTGTTTTATTTGTATTCATATTTTATTGAAATTAAAGGAATAATGTTGAAAAATTTTAAATCCTATGTCATATAGCAATTTCAGGGTATTTCTTTTTTTTCTTTCTTTCTTTTTTTTCGAATCATAAAGGCTTTATTTAATTAGCTTATATGTCTTTAAATTTCTGTTTTATGAGTTAAAGAAGTTCTT